AACACAGTGTACGGACTCTTACAAAGCGTCCCACTTCTATAGTGAATATGACATGCAAAAGTCTTTCTCAGTTCCAATCACATTGGCCATTGTCCGTTGATGATACTCACTCTTTGATATTCTTCCTCACGAGAACTCAAAGTTATATGCCACGATTGATATATATATATATATATATATGTCGTGCTAAAATCGCTTGAGCTCTAAAATTATGCATATATCATATCATATAAATGAGGGGCGATTGAGCACACAAGTCCCCACCACACAGTTGCGCATGCGTGCTGATCTGCTGCACCCTTCCCTTTCAATATTATTCCATGTGGAATGTCAATAATTGATTCTCATGAATAGTAACTTTCTTTTAATTATAGGACTCGTGATATTTTCAAGGAATAATATATATTGTCTGGGTAAAACTTTGGTCTCAATTATAATGCACGGCACTGAAGTTATACAGTGCTTTTAACCGTGAAAGATCATGTATTCACAGTCACACACCTCTTCAACTACTTTTTTGGTTCATATACGTACGTATATCAAGCTTGAGCTTATCAATATTAAACAACACTCGTCATGCTCAGATCATATCTGGGAATAATTAATGGATTAATTATCAGTTTTACCCATTAAGTCTTGTTTCTTGCTTGGATATATCCATATCACCTCTCGAAACGCAAATGATGAATTGAAGGCAACAAACCGCATATGTTTATTTGACTTGATTTGAAATTCTACGACAAAAATATTTCTGCATTTCCACCAACCAACTAATTAATTCAGAAAAGTAATCGATAGTTAGTAGTGTCTGACAAAAGAAAAAAAAAGTTCAAATTAAGATACAACACATGGTTGGACCGTCGTGTACTTACACTCTGATCAAAATAGTCTAATCTAACCTATATATTAGGCAGACAAAAGTTGTAAAGCCCATGATTTGTTGGGTAATCACCTGGCTGGCCTTCACCGCGCCGTTGCAATAGGCTTTTACAAAGCTAATTTAATTAGGGAGTCTCCGCATTAATGTATAGCACAACCAACTTTTTCCGACAGGAAAAAAAAAAAATGAGCTCTATTTTTAATTCCACTATCTTAATGGTGTACTTCTTTTTCATATACCTGAATTATGGTCTTGTCTTACACTATTTGTGTATTTATTTGGATCCATCGATCGTATGGTGATTGGCAAATGGCAATAACGATATGCATGTTAAATATCAGGATTCCTCAAACAACATAAAACACACACCATAATCAAACTAACGTACTAGGAAGGTTATATGCATTTCTTAATTGAACATATACATACATGTATATATACACGCACACACACTCAAGGATCCATAAAAGAGAATAAACAATTTGCTTGCATGCCTTGCACATGTAGGAAATGTACCAGTAACTTCTTATAGCGCTTATTCAACGAAATACATCAATAAACTATTCATAAGGTATTGTCTGTGGTTATAACGAAAGAAGAATTAGAAAAGGTATCTGCCAAATTTTCAGCAGCACAAACTCGCAAAACTGAAACTTCGGAGAAAGTGTAGCAAGTGAACTTTAATGCACTTTTTTTTTTTTTTACCAGAAAAAGAAAAACAAACACAATTCAGAGATTTAGCGAATAAAAATGCAGAACTAAAGGGTCTCTCTTTAATCTTCCACTAATGAGAGACACACATCTTTAAACGCGTGATATAAAAAAAAAAATCAGTTCCACAGGACCCGCTGAATAATTAATTGGTAGCTAGAGGATAATGCACATAATTAGATGCTTAACTATAAAAAGAATAAAAAATAAAAAGTAAAGTTAGCCAAGCAGATGGCAAGTGCATAATTAATATCCATAAGCCTCGATTAGAACATTGCTAATCTTCCTAAATCTCTTCTAGTTCAACAAAAGAAGATGAATATCCTATTATATCTCTCCAATATTTTCACATTAGATTAAGAGTCTACGACATAATTTGACGCCTTTATGAGGCGTTTATTTTCCAAGATTAAGAAATACGTACGCGAAAGAAATGTTGCAAATGATCTGTTGGCAATTGGTCTACACTTTACAGGATTGTCCCATACTCTGAAATTGGCAACTTTTCAGAGTAAGAGAGGGATATACTTTGCATATAGTACTAGCTAGAGCACACGCATATTACTTGAAATTCGTGACAAGATAAATAAAAAATAAATAAATAAAAAAGTGGAGATGAAATTTACAAATCCCACTAATTAATGTGAATTACCAGTGAATGATATGTATTCTAAAGAAAGGAAAATTAAACGGCAGTTAGAGGATTCTAGTTGGTTAATTAATCGTCAAGAATATGCAACCCTACTAATCACAATGCAATTGATGATTGCACTTTTGGATTTCAACTTTCAAACCAAAACTCTGTCAAAAATACCTGAAAAGTAGGTTGGACCCGCCAATATTGCGCCAAATTTGTGTGAACACAACCCAGCCATTTTCCATGCTTAATCATTACCATGCTTAATTAACATTGCATCATAAAATTACAATTAAATTAACTAAAAGTGCTTATTAAATTCCTTTGTTCAGCTGCACCAAGAAGAAGAAGAAGAAGAAGTCACACTCAAAATCAGAAATAAACCTTTTCTTTTCCTTTTTTTTTTAATAGACCATTTCTTTTCCTTTTTTTTTGGCGTAATGTGGCAATTAAGAATGCAGAACTTATTCACAAACTGAATGAGCTATATCTAAATTTGTCAATGTAATATTTTCCTCTCGTTTTCCCCCCTTTGATCAGCCAATAGAAGGGTACAGGGAAAGGTTGAAGCACATGCAGCTAGCTGGAGCTATTACTTTTTATTAAATTGAAATTAAATGGTCCCTTTTTTTATTAATATATGGTCCTTTATTGGATCATTCTTATTTTGTCCTAAACCTTGATTACTTCCTCGAGTAACTCAACAAATCAACTCTTATCAGCACATAGCCGACCATTATCGCCTAATTGACCTTTGATTTGTCTCCTTCTAATTGTGTTTCCGGAATTTTTGGTTTACCACCCAAATATATTCGAGTATTAATGCTTCTAATTATATATATATATTATTCCTTTTTTTGCTAAGGATATATATTATTCCATTAGAAAATATAGAGTGGAGAAAAAGTTAGTATCTCGATCAGTGTTATTTTTCCATATGACATCAGTTCCTCAGCAAATGCCAATTGATATAACTAGGAGGGAAAAATATGCATATATACTTTAGCTAGTTGGATATTCTTGTTAGCTATATCTCATTCTTACCAAGATAATGCCCTAGGTAATTGGGTATGATTTTAACTCAGTCAAATACTTAAAAATCAAAGTCTTATAAAAAATTTTATATATTAGAAAAACGCACATTAAAAGGATAGAATCATGAACAATTGATGGTGCTGAGAATTTGATTAATTAGTACATTTCATCTTTTTATCGAGAATCTATTCATCGGCCATTGCATATTTTAAACTACATATTAGTGGTGTGTGCAGCTTAAGTTTTTGAGATACATATATTCATATATATATTATATGTATGTATATTACTGGAGAGGTAACTAATCAATTACATGTCATGCACATTATATTCATAAATCACACACACAATTATTTGTACATCTATTTGTATTGCATCTGCACAGCAATTAATTTTTCCCTCTTCAGTCTTCACCCCGTCAATTAAACCCCCACTATGAAGTTTGTTCTTTGCACTTCACATTGTGCGTGTGTATAATAATTTCCTTTCTGGCATAAGGAATAAATTAATTTTCACCATTGACAAATTCTAGCCAAACTGATATTTAATTCGATCCGAGTTTGGAAAGAAAAATCAGTCCAATACTTCAATTTAGAAAAGGATTGGTTAATTGTTCAAAAAAAAAAAGATTGGTTAAAGTGTACAATTAATATTGTGAAAAATTATAGTAAATAGGCCGGCTTTTAAAACATTAAGGTCCCGTTCATTTCGTCGGTTTAAGTTTAAAATTTGAGGTTTATTACAGTCAAATGCTCTAAAAACAATTACATTTATTTTTTTTTACTACAGTTAAAAGTTCTTACATAAAGTCACATATCAACTCGAATTAACAAATTAAATAAGCCCTTAATTAACCTATTTACTATCCATTTTAAATCTTGACTTATTAATTTTTATTACCCTCTTAATTTGATCTATTTCCCTCCTTCTCCCTAATATTATTTTGGGAAAGAAGTTTTTGTTTCATTTTTTATTTTGAATTTGAAGTAGGTTAACATGATAGTCAGTGTATTATTTTGGGAGGGGAAAGAAGCTTTAACGAAAGCCCTATAATCCCTAAAAAACAGAAAAACGTCACCTCGCTAACCATACATATATAGGCTATGAGTTGAGCTACATATGTGTATATATATTGCAATCAATAAATGTGGAAAAATGACTCTGATATCTCTTTTTCTGGTTTCTTTATTTTTCATTTTTTTGGTAAAGAAGGTCAGCCATGCATATATAACTTTTCTTAGTGTGCTACTTAATAGTATTGGTAGGTAGTAATCATGTCAACAACAACAAAGATGAACCAACCAACTTGTTAATTATTTCCTGTCTTAAAGAAACGGAGATGTAACATTTTTCTTCTTATTATTTATTATTTATTTGTTTTAAGTAACAGACAACTTTGAAAGTTAGGACCGTTTAGTTTACAGATTTAAATTGATATGTGATTTTATATAAAAAAAATTTATTATAATAAAAAATTAAATATAATTATTTTTAATAACTTTTTATTATAATAAAACTTAAATTTTAAACTCGAATTACTGAAAGGAGTCCAAATTGATCACAAAACTTCCATGCTATCATATACTCATTCTTGTCCTGGGACCCACCTACTTCTTTTCATGTGTCCACCTATCAAATCCAGCAACTTTAAAAGCAGGCTCTTCCCCACTTTCAACAAGTAGCTACTGCATATATAATTTTCTCTGATCCCCAAGTTATTCCACATTAAAAAAAAAAAGAAGAAGAAAAAAAAAACTTCAAATCAAACCATGAAATTAGGAATGGATATATTCTGTGCCTCACCGGCTTCCACAGCCATATGCTCAAGCATAGACCAACGCTCCATGGTCCGTCGCAGCCTGCACAGGAATAGCACTGATCATCATCAACAAAGTCCTTGTAATCTTCTTGATCATCATGATGATCATAGGCGGATGATCAAGAACCAGCAGCCTCGGCATCATCACGTCCCATGTTCTTCTCAGTTGCCGATCAATCCCAGACCTCATAACTACGAGAAGAGCAGAAAGAGTTGCTCCGATAACTACAGTTATAAGCAAACTAGCGAGGTGCGTAGGAAAAGCTCGGCTGATGTATATGACGTGAAAAGTATAAGTAGGACTAGTCCTCCTGGTTCTTCTCGTTATCTGTTGAGCGAAACCCCTTTCGTCGACTGGTTGTCGTCGGAGACTGATGATGATCGCGCTGTTCAACGTCATGTCTTTTCTACTGATCATCAGGATGATCATGATCAACCCGCCAAGCTAAAGTTTAGGAGCCTCAGCACTAATGATCGGCCTTCTTCTTTGAGAGCCTCTTCATCCACTCGCTCTCGTCACCAGGTATTTGTTTTATTGCGTTTGGTGTGTACTAATTAATTTTGTTCACATCCTGTTTCATGCAAATTATGTATTTTTATTTCCCGTCTTTTTTTTTAATTTTATTTTCTGTGTACGTTAACGCATAACGTTCTTGTTGAATTTATCACCAAAAAAAAAAGAAAACGTTCTTGTTGAAGAATATATTTTATTACGGTGCGCTGTTACAAAAGTACTGTGTGATATACGTGTGTGTGTGCGCGCTTTGAATCTGCAGGTCGTGGTTTTGAGGGTTTCACTGCATTGCAAGGGCTGTGAAGGGAAAGTGAAAAAACATCTCTCTAAAATGGAAGGTAAGTTTTTTCTTTCTTTTCTTTTTCTCTCTGGTGATAAAAATTAAGAGAGTTTTCCACAACTCGATATCCCCTAGCTAAAAATTTATGAGAATACTGAGACAAAGTTAACTTCAGGAATTGAAGAGGCTGTTGTTTTGCATTTTTGAGTTACGGTGATTTGAGTAATGATTTTGAATTAAGTTTGAGTTATAATTTGAATTTGTATTTGTATGTGCACATTTGAGTTATGATTGAATTGAGAATCTTTTTGAATTTATGTTTAGGTGGGTCAAAATTTAAATTTTAGCATTTTAATAAAAACTCAATAGTGATGAAAATTTTTAATAAGGGTATATGGGTGAGATTTTATTCGTATTTTCGTTGTGAATGCATAAAAAATCATCTTAATCAAAATTAAAACGAAAAAGTTATAACATTTTAAGAATAGAAAAAATAGTATTCTTTAACTTGAATTCGAGTTTATAAACTCGAGTTGAAAAAAAAAAGCTTGAACTCGAATTTAGTCTCAAACTCAAATTTTATAAAAAAATAAATAAACTTAAATAAAATTATAACTTAAATTTAAATTTTTTTAAAAATTTTGTTGTAAAAAAACAACCAAAACAAAAACTTCATAACCATGCCTTTAGTTTGATTTCTTCTGCTTCAATGCTTGGAAGTTGGAACCGGATTTATTAATTAATAGTAAAGCACTGAAATTTAGATATATATATATATATATACATATATTACTAGCTCTAACATAATAATAATAATTTTTTTTTTCAAAAAACTGCAGGAGTGACATCATTTAGTATAGACTTGGCTGCAAAGAAAGTGACAGTGATTGGAGATATAACTCCTTTAGGTGTGTTAGCGAGCGTGTCAAAGGTGAAGAGTGCCCAGCTCTGGCCTTCTCCCACATCATCATCACCCTCTTCTCCTTGGTCAGCATGATTATCAGTACTAATTAGTAATAAATCACTTTTATTTTTTTTCTTATTATTAAATTACTACTTACTATTATTTGAAGGTCCGGCAGGGTGTGTACTTTTACTACTATATATGAGTTATGTTTAATATGTAGTGTAAATGCAAATTAAGTACTCTTTTAATTAAGGGGAATATATCGGAATCAAACAACTGCTTGTTTATTGTGTAAAGTTAAAGTGGAAGGGATGGTTCAATACTCTTGTGTTATCATGTAGCTCTAAAGTTTAAATGCACTTTTTTTTTTATAATATATATATATATATCTTTGTTTAAATTCAAAATATCCTGTATACTCAGGCTGGCAACTCTGAGCATGGCTTCTTGTTTACTACTTTCAATGTGTTCGAGTGCATTTTACGCCCATGATCATGTGAAAAAAAAAAAAAAAAAAAAATCTATAATTCGCAGCCAAACCTGGCCAGCTCTGGCGTTTACACATTATTTGATGCAGACTTGGTTGGTTTGATAGAAAATGAGACATGTACGTAAGTTTATTAGATAGAGCATTTAGACATGCCACTATTGAATGCATAAACAGTTCTCTAACAATCTTTAATGGAATAGAAAAGTACATTATCCATTTTTTTATTAATGTGAATTTAATTCATTGGTTTATTCTTTGGTATATAAGAGGCTCTTATAATTGGATATAGAACAAGAGTACATGAATGGCTCTAATATTGTGGGTGTGCTAGTACCATAATAATAAAGACCATTGAAAAACAAACACCACGCCATGATAATTAATGTTTCAAAACAGCAAAATGCATGCAGGGAGCTAGGATGGTTTGGAAGTACTCAATTAGGAGAGCAGCAGGCTTATGATCATATCCTTTGGACAAGCAGTACTACTTTTTCTCTTTTTCTTTTTCTTCTGTCTTCTCATTCTACAGTGGTCTGGTTAGTTTTCCTCAGCGCTGTTTCAAAAAGTCAGAATTTGGATATGGAAAACTTTTATCAGATTTATTCCTTACTTGGAGGCCCCCTAAAAAAAAAAAAAAAAAAAAAAAAAAAAACCCTTTGGCAAAGCCCTTCGTATATAACTTAATCTGAGAACACAAATACTGGCGCAAATTGGCCAAGAATTTAACAAGATCAACAAGTTGGTAGTATAATTCCTATGTAAAAAAGAAAAAAAAAAAGAAGCCCTTGGCATTCTGTGGGAGTTATGAGATCTTTTAAAAGAGTTTAATGTGGAATGGTGTATAATTCGACTAAACTTGTCTCAGTGTTTGGTGGCAGTTCTTCTATGATCTATTCTTCTTGTGAAAAAGTGATTTTCCCCACAATAAATCAAAATGATGACAGTGAGGTCTACTTTTGGTTTCAAGTCCATTTCAAAATTTCCAGCGGTGGTGGGACCGCCTCATGTTTCTATGTTTCTTCCCTTGTCTTTGCTTTTTAGAACTTTTGTTATTAATTTCTTATTCTCTCTCTAACCAATCTATTCTGATTTGTGGGACAAAAGAGTATATGAACAACGGTAGGTGCAGAAGCAAGCAAATTCCAATTCTTCACAAAACCCCATGATTTGATTTAATTTTTTTTTCCCTTATCTTTTCTTGGTAATTCTTTAAAGGAGGTTTCTTTAATAGGGCTAGAAAAAATAAATTACTTATAAATTATTTTTTTTAATTTTAAATTTGTGGTAAAAATTATCTGTTATAACAAAAATATGATTTTAATCATATTCAATAATCAGAAAATAAAGTCGTTTCTTTATATTTTAACAAATAATTTCCTAACTTTAATAACTTTGACTATGACTTGGACGGCTGGAAAAAAAGATAAAAACCAGGAGAACAAAAAAGTCGGAAAATGGTTCACCCATTAGGGGTACTATCATTATTATATGATTCTGCTATAGAAATTTGGTAGCAATGTCGGCGCAACTTTTATGGTGATAAGCATGCAAGACTAATCCTTTTTTTTTTTTTTTTTTCCTTTTTCGTTTTTCTTCCCTTAGAGAAAATATTTTTGTATACATATGCTTATGCTTTGTTGCGACAAATCAGATTTGTCTCTTGTGGTACATTGTGTGGTCATTTTATGTATATATGCAATATATACTAGACGTCTCTAGTATTTCCTTGATTATATAGTCTTCTACATATGTACGTAACAGAAATAACAAAAATTTGAACAGTGAACGATTAATGCGACCTTTTATGATTCCCATGCAAATCCTTCTGATCATCCAATAACTTCTGAAGATAAAGTGAGAGAAAGATTCAAGTGCATGAAACGGTTCTGGTTAAGAATTTAGAATGCAACCAAACAGGTAAAAGTAAAGAAATTTCATAGGATGGTTCAAGGAAAGGACCCCAGGGCTTAAAATATTGATCATATCCTCGTGTTATCCAAATGGTGAAGTTTGGTGGCTTAGCTTTTTGAAACATGAAGCAATTTTTTACATTAATGCTGCGTAAAGTTGAATCTTTGTATTACTTCCCCATATTGGGCTTTCTTGGGGTTTTCTTGAACTATCTACAACTGCCCAAATATCATTAAGAGGTCAAAAGTTGGGTAATCCCACCTGTTATTTAACAAGATATCGTAGTGAGGGAGAGACAAACTTGGGCTGTAATTCTTATAAACTGGGCTAATTAACTAATTTCCTTCAGAGAGTCTTTCTCCAATGTTGTACTACATCTTAGTGGATTATGCAGATTCTCGTCATATTCCAAGATGTTGCTCTTTATTTCAAGTTATATCTATATATTTTTGTCGCTTCTTGTCATTGTCCAGCGATATCACTCAATGGTTTGTTATATTGAGCCTAAAGAGAAAAAATCTTTATGGTTTGTTGTATATACACTTTCCTTCTTCTGTGTTTATATTGAGGGTTACGGTTTTATCTAACAGGCGCCATTTAGTTTAGTTTGTTCTTTGTTGAGATTTTTGTTGCTTCTTTTTACTATTGTTCTTCTTTTTATGATGTCTTGTTTGGTGTTGTATTTCCTGTTGATGTCTTTTGTTGAAACTATCGGTGTTCATTGTAATAATTTCGTCAGTCATGTGATGTTTTCTGAAGATGTCGTTTGTTATCTGTTGTCGTTTTCCACAACTACAAGCTGTCTCAGTTATGATGACATGATAGTTGTCTCTATAATGTCCTTTTGGCTTGATTGTAGAACTGTTCTCTTGTAATTTTATATTACCACCATTTAAGTTATTGTCGTTTTATGAATTGTCGTATTTATTTTGAGGCCGTTTTCTTCCGGACTACTGTTGGTGTGGTATGTTTCATTTTGAGGTTATTTATTAAAGTTCTCATCGTTTTCATTAATGACCTTTATTTCATGTCCTTGACATCTTTTGTTTTGACGTGGTTTTTTTGTGGTTGTTGTCGTTTATTTATTTATTGTTGTGTTTGCTAACATGCCGATTTTGTTTATGTTTGTCATTTTGTAAGATTATTTTTGTTTATATGTTGTCGTTTTTCCACGAATTTTTTTTTTCTATGTCATTGTCTCGATCATAATGATATTTTTTTCTTCCCTAAAAAAAAAAAAAAAAAAAAAAAGATAGTCTCAGTTTGTTGTCGTTTATTTCCTATATTGTCGTTTATCCAATGTTGTCGTTTCAAACTTTATGAAGTTTTCACTTCCAGTTTGGTTGTTGTTTGAGAGTCTGATTGCTATGTTGTTTCCGGATTGCTATAGATTTTTTATATTACTGTCGTTTCTGTTTATTGTTTTATATTACTGTCGTTTCTGTTTATTGCTGATCTTAGTAAAGTTTTCGTTTAGGTTTTGTCGTTTTTCAATATCTACTGCAGAAGTGGCTCCCTGGTCAGATTTTTTTTTTTTTTTAACCTTGTTTTTCCCAGTGAAATTTTTCCTCGTAATTTTTCCTGATGAAGTTTGTCTTCGTATAATTGTCGTTTGTTCTTACTAAATCCATCTAGCTTTATGATGCCGTTTCATAGTTTTTATCGTTTTACTTTCGTTCTTTATGGGAAATCCTTTATTATGTTATCGTTTCTTAATGATGTCGTTTTTTACAGTTGACGTTGTTTACAATAAATACTGATTGTTAGTTGGTTCTCAATAATGTGTCATTCTCAATAGATAGGAAGTACGAAGACGAAGACCGGTGTGGTATTTTTGAGGAAAAAGCTTCCACAATACAGAAAAAACAGAGTCCCCTAATGGCCAGACACCTTTGCTCTGATGAACGATGAGGATTTCATTATCACTGATTAACCATATGTTTTTAAAGGGCGTCTTTTGTTAATCTGTTTTCTGAAGAATAGTTATTTATCTGGGTATTTTATTAGCTCAATTCAAATCCACACAAAATATATATATATATATATATATATATCACAAATTCTGCAACTTAATTAATTCACAAACAAAGCTCCATATTGTAGTACAACAACCAGTATAATCTCCTTAGCAGAGACTTGTACCACACTTAAAAACAAAAAAAAAAAAAAAAAAAGAAACACGCACAACCAAAGCAAACTAGTAGGAAAGATAGACAGTGAACTGAAGCAGAGTCTCGAGCCCATCAGTGTTGTGCTGATCAGCAGTAGGCGGAAACGTCTTAACGGTGGCGATTCCCTTGGCATTCAAATACTTTCCGGTGCCTCCCATGATGGCCAGGTGAGACTCAGCGGCGGCGGTCATGTGGACCCCAAAGAAAGTGAGACTGTCGGCGTAGCCACCGGTCTGGAACATGGCCGTGAAAGCCATGATCTGGCTCGTCCCGTCCACCGAGCTCGCCACGTAGAAGCCCTGGGCCTTTCCGAGCAGGCCCGAGCCCAGCTCGTGGCCCTCGGTCAGCTCGTCGTCGAAGGCCGTCACGGTCCCGAACATCAGCTTCTGGAGGGTCATCCCCGGAGGGAGCTGAGCGCCGTTCAAGAACGGGAAACCGTTGCCTCCGGCGATGAAGTTGTTGTTGTTGTTGTTGGTGTTCTGGAGGAGGTTGGCTGTGTTGCCGGCCAGGCCGGTGAAGAATGGGACGTTGTTGTTGCTGATAATGCCTTGGTTGTTGTTGTTCTGCGGGACGCCGTTGTTGATGGGGAGGACCGCGCCGTTCGGCTTCGCAAACGGGACTTGGCCGCTTACCGCCGGGTTCGAGACTATCCCAGTGATGGCTATGGCCGAGGGGTTCGTCCCGCCCACGATGTCGTGCATGTAGAAGATTAGTGTGTGGTGGGGATCTGCATTGCCTAATGTGGCCCCACCAGCGGCTGATACAGGGCCTGCCGGGTTAGCGGTCGGGCCCACTGGGCCTACCGATGTGCCAACTGGGCCTACTGGAGTGCCCGCAGGGCCTACCGGGGTGGCGGTGGGGCCCGTGGGGTTGGTGGGCACAAAAGGTGTTGGAGCTACGTCAGGGTCCTCAGGAGCATCCTCATCAAGGAGTCTAGCTGAGAAGGTGGATGAGATTGTGAGAGATAGGAAAAGCAACCAGGCTATGGCAATGAGAGAAGTAGGAATATATTTGTTTGCCATAGGATTTGGGATTGCAAGGACAAGTTTTGAGAATGGAAGAGGGAGTTTTAGAACTAAGGTTGTTTTTTTTTTTTTGGTGAAGCTGGTTATGATGGGAAGAGATTGTGTGATTGAGTTTATATACTTTTGAGTTTGAGAGAGTGATATGGAGTACATTAGATGGAGTTGATGGCGTGGAGTAGGTACTTGCATTCTATACATTGGTGCATTTGGTTAATGCTTGAAATACCTAATGAAACAAGCCTCGTCTTCTTAGATGGAATGTTAGTAAAGATTATAGTAATATTTGTTTGAGCTGCTTCCCAATTTCAAATTATTGCTTATTCATGGTTGAGTCATTCACTAACGAAACCAATACATGTGTTTCACATATTAACAAAAACACAAATTGAACACTCACCAAACATAAAAATAAAAACCATGGTCTAATGCGAAAATTGGATTATATATACTACTACAATCAAGAAATTTATCGGACTCTTTTTTTTTCCCCTTGCTGAGAGGAAATTTATAGGACTTAATTGAATATTAAAATAGAAAACATTTGCGTTCCTAACAATTTCCATCCAATTCAATAAAAGAGAAATTTGCATAATGTCAAACTATTTTAATCTCCACTCCATTATCCAAAATAAAGAAATTATTTATTCCCCGTATCAACGTGAACATCTTCAAGTGTCTTTTCTTTTTATTCAGTCCAACAAAAATTAAAAAAAGAAAATTCTTTTCTCTTTCTCTTGAACTTCAAGTAACAAGTCCTTATATTCAAGCCACACCTTCTCCATGAGTTTGACAAGAACTTCCCTTGAATTTATGGGAGAGAGACACTTCTTGGTTTCCATTATTTCAGCAATAAAGTTTGAATCAAACAGGTTTCTGCAGCTGGTTAACTACCATTACTTGTATAGGAAACCTTGGCTTTGTACAGAAAGGAAAAGCCGAGATCACAGGCTAAATTAACGCAAACAAACAAGTTCTCAAAGTTTCCAGCTTCCACCTTCAACCAAAGCTTTGTTTCATGCCCAATGCTCTGCAATGGCACAGATTAATTCAATTCCACAAGCTCGTCTATGCCACCGATCCCATCACAAAGTTCACCAAGCCGAACTCCATGGGACTGCAAAAAAAACTTCATATTGATCTTCTCTTTCTTCTAAAATGCAGTGATCAGTTCAGTCACTAGGCCATCTGCACCGGAATTTCTACCACAAGCTTCTACAACTAAAGCATCCCAACCTTCCAAATCGAATTGCATCTTCCTCTTTCCCATCTCCTCCAAAACAAAACAGGCATCCTCAAGATTACCACACTTTACTAGGCCCATAATCAAGCATCGAAACGATTCTAAACGAGGACAATGCCGACTTGTCAACATTGCATTCAAAACCTTTAAACCGCGTTCGAAATCCCCAACCTGGCAGAATCCATCAACCATTACCCTGTATGTAGCCGCATTTGGCTCACAACCTCCAATCTGCATTTCGGTCAAAATTTTATGCGCCGCCACTGCCTTACCTTCCCTACACAGATAGTTTATGAGTATGTTATATATAACAACATCAGGCTTAAACCTTCTCCTTTTCATCTCATTAAGTAGCAATTTTGCCTCCTCAATATTTCCTCTCCTTCCAAGATCAGTCATCAAAATACCGAAATTCACGAGCTTTGGTTTACACCCTCGGTACTCCATATCAAACATCAACTTCTTCGCTTCCTTATACTTTCCCACCGAACATAAACCTTCCATCATCAATGCATACGTCACGGCATTTGGGCACTTTCCTTTCTCGATCATGTCCTCGAGCAAACCCTTCGCTTTATCCAACTCACCCTTTTTACATAAGTACCCAATCAAGCTATTATAAGTCACCACACTAGGCTGCACGCTTCTCTCAAGCATTTCATCAAACACCTTGGATGCCTCTTCCCAGTCACCTTTCCGAAGGCACCCTTTGATAATTATATTAAACGTAATCGAATTCGGACGAAAACCCATCTTGTACGAACGATAAAAGACGTCATTTGCCTCCGAAAACCGACCGCCATCGACAAGCACGTTAAGGAGAGCGTTTAAGGACTGCAATGTCCGTACACAATTGAAGGAAGGAATTCTACGAAAAAGCTCGATAGCTTTGTCCACCAAATTGGCCTTGCCATAATGTTGCATCAGAACAATGAAAACTTTCTCTCCGCAACGAATATTCCTGTCTTGTACATGATCAAGAATGGTCTCCACGGCTTCAAAGTCACGGAAACGGGCGAGCTTATAGATTAGAGCAGAGTAAGAAGCGTAATCGTGTTTGAAACCAATGTTTTGTTGGTAGTCTTGGAACAGAGAAAGAGCTTCTTCTGGGTCTTGTGCTTGCTTAACGTTGGAGACGAAAGGTGTTGGCTTGCGAAGCTCAGTAGTAGCTTTGTGAGATCTTTCATGGGACGGCTTGGTGTAGTATGGTTGCGAACGTACGACATTGATAAGACAACGAACGAGAACGAAGTTTGATTGTGTTTGTTTGATGGCTTTTGTTCCTGAATGGATCATGTCGTAGGAAGAGGTGAACGGATTGTTTAAACTTTAAACTCTGTTTTTATGCTTGAAAAAACTTTAAACTCTGTTTGATTGACAAAACTTTAAAATCGCCTTTATGGGGTTAACCGTTAATGTCAATTATAAGGTCGTTCATTTCGCTGGTTCGAGTTTAGAATTTGAGTTTTGTTACAGTAAAAAAATTCTCAGAAACAGTCACATTTAACTTTTTTATTACAGTAAAAAACTCTCACACAATATCACATATTAACTCGAATTAACGAACCGAACGGACCAAATACCTCCTTTCCACTCACCAGCCCAAACAAAACAAAACAAAAAAAAAAAAAAAAAAAACAGTTAAATACATCTTTCTGGTTTCTTGTGTGGTTACTTAAACCAACAATAAATAAATTTTAGTAAAAAAAAAAAAAGGAAAAGAAAAAAAAACTAACAACAGATAAAAGAACATCTACAAAAATTTATTATATAAGTAAAAAAAACTATTAGTGTTGATTTAAGTGTCCCATTTAGTTGCTTATTAATTGATGTGCTGATTATTCACTTAATAATCACAATTTTTTGTAAGAAAAAAAGTTCTACAGCGTTTAGAATAAGAATATGAATTGCAGAAATTTTGTTTAAATATATATTTTTTACATTACTGTTTGCCAACTGCCAAGTACAATATTGACAAACATTTCCAGATCATTTAAATAAATACAAGGAAAGAAGGTGATCAATAATTATCTGTATCCTAATAAACATTTTCCCTCAAAAAAATTTTTTTTAAACGTATTGAAATTAGTGCAAATTGTCACTTAACCATACAAAATGAAACTTAATGCACAGCATTGAAGTTCCGAAGTTCCTTTTCTTTTTTTCTTTTTTTCTTTTTTTTTGGGAAAAAGAGCTAGCAGAAAGAGAGAAAACACGTAAAATATTCTAAATTATGATTCTAATTGTTTAAAAGATATGACTATTGAGAATCTTTTATTTGCTGCAAATGACTCTCTTCCCAGTGGAGAAGCAGACTAGAAAGTCAATTCTTGCCACCTTGTAAATTGTAATGAATATTTTTTTGTATATTTCATTAACAGATATACACACATAAACAACGTATAATCAACCCTACTTCTAAGGCTTAGAAGACGTGATCTACTGTAGTGAGATATGATTTATACTATTTTAGGAAAATAAATATATTACAACAATATTTTTTTAATACTCCCCCTCAAGTTAGAGAGTGAATATCATGAAGTCCCAACTTGCTGCGTAGTGTCACAAATTGATCATTCCCCAAAGCTTTTGTAAATACATCTACCAACTGGAAACGCGTAGGTACATATGAAGGTCTAACCATTTCAGTTTGCAGTTTTTCTCTAACTATGTGACAATCTATTTCAATGTGCTTTGTACGCTCGTGAAAAACATGATTTGCTGCAATGTACAAAGCTGCCTGATTGTCACAGAACAATGGTGTAGGAGTCACCTGTAGGACTTTCAAATCTTGTAATATATTGCGCAGCTAAGTTAGTTCTAAACATGTGTTAGCCATAGCTCGATATTCGACTTCTGCCGATGATCTAGAAACATTCGCTTGTTTCTTGGATTTCCATGAGATGAGAGAATTTCCGAGGAAAACACAATATCATGTAATCGACCTCTTTGTGGCACGACACCCTCCCCAATCTGAATCACAAAAAGCTTTCAAGTCAAGACTATTGATGGAAGGAAATAGTAGACCTTGGCCAGGAGTACCTTTGATGTACTTGAGGATTCGTATGGCAGCATCCCAATGAGGTTTTCGAGACTCATGCATGAATTGGCTCAGTGTTCGAACGGGATAAATTATGTTAGGCCTTGTGACGGTAAGATAAATCAGTTTCCCAACTAGTCTTCTATATTTAGTTAGATCATTCAATAATGCTCCATCTGTGGGAGTGAGCTTCAAATTTTGTTCCATTGAAAATTTTTCTGGGCGTGCACCTAGAAGACCTGAATCTTGCAAAATGTCCAGTGCGTACTTTCTTTGAGACAAGAAAATACCTTTCTTTGACGGTGAGAATTCGATGCCCAAAAAATATTTCAAATCTCCAAGATCTTTGATACGGAAGCGTTGGAGAAGAAATTTTTTGAGATGTTCCATTTCTGGAAGATCATTTCCTGTGAGAAGTATGTCGTCAACATAGATAAGGACTGCAGTAAATAAAGTATCTTGAGCCTTGGTAAAAAAGGAATAATCAGCCTTTGATTGTTGATAATCAGCCTTTTGAATGGCTTCTGAAAAAGTGGAGAACTAGTTTTTTTATGCTTGTTTGAGTCCATAGAGTGATTTGTTGAGCCGACATATGATGTTCTCCCCATGTCGGCAAAGACCATGTGGAGGGTCCATACACATGACCTCATTGAAGAAAAGCATTTTGGACATCTAATTGGTGGATGAACCAATGTCTAGCGGCAGCAACACTAAGAAGACAACGGAGTGTAGTAAGTTTGGTTGTAGGAAAGAAGGTTTCCAAATAATCAATTCCCTCAACTTGAGTATATCCCTTAGCAACAAGACGAGTCTTATAGCGTTCAATGGTGCCATCAGACCTGTATTTGATTTTGTACACCCATTTACAACCAATTGGTTTTTAACCAATAGATAGAGGAACCAAGCTCCATGTGTTATTTTGCTGCAATGCATCTAATTCTGCATTCATGGCTTGTTGCCAATGTGGATTAAGGATAGCCTGAGCATAGGATTTTGGTTCGATGTGACATGTAATATTAGCTAAAAAGGTACAATGCACAGAAGAGAGACGAGAGTATGAAAGAAAATGGGAAAGAGGATATTGAGTACCAGATGTAGAAACTTGGTCCTAAGGTAGAATAATTGACTTGGGCTGACATTATGTAGTCTATATGCCATGTTGGTGGTTGCTTAGGACAAGCGGATTGAGGAACGGGAAAAATTGTAGTGGTTGGAAGGTCTGAAGTATTTGGAGAAGTGGTTGGGAGTTCGGCAGTGGTAGGGAGGTCGGCTTGAGGTGAGGTTTCAGAAGATGGAGTGGTATTTTCAGGTGCGACAAGTGCGTGGATGGGGGACAATGACTCATGTGTGTTAGGTGCCTCGGTTTGCTGGAGGTGTGGAGATAGGTTGTGTAATGGCCAATTATCTGTAATATCGATGGAAAAGTGGGGTAACACAAAATTGGGATTTGGTGGAATCGAAGCAGAGGAGAAAGGAAAAGTGGTTTCACAAAATTTTACATCACAGCTGACAAAAAATTTCTTAGTTTCCAAATCATAAAGTTTGTAACCTTTTTGACCGATGGAATATCCAACAAAGATGCATTTTTGGGCACGAGGATCAAATTTATGAGTTGAATGAACAACAGTTGCATAACACAAACAACCAAAGACTCTTAAGTGATCAAGTGATGGTGGACGTTTGTATAACAATTCAAAAGGTGATTTAGTGGATAACAATGGTGACGGTAGTCGGTTAATAAGGTAGACAGCGGTCAATACACATTCACCCCAGAAAGTGGTGGTAAGTGGGATTAGAAAGGTAATGCACGTGCTACATTGAGAATATGTCAATGCTTCCGTTCAACCACTCCATTTTGTTATAGAGTGTAAACACAAGTGCGTTGATATTTGATGCCATGAAATTGGAAAAAATTTCTCATTGATAGGAATTCAGAACCATTGTCTACCCTAACGGAGGCATGAAATTGAGTGTAGGCAAAACCAATGAAGGATTTCAAAATAGTTTGAGTTTCAAACTTATTTTGCATAAGAAATATACATGAGCACCTTGTAAAATCATCCACAATAGTAAGAAAGAAGTGTGCCCCTGAATGTGTGGGAACTTTGTGTGGTCCCCAAATATCACAATGTAACAAATCAAATGGAGCATGAGTTAATATGGAACTTAAAGAGAATGGAAGTCTGGTTTGTTTTGCCATAGGACAAACAGTACAATGATCATCATAAGAGATATTATTAGAAGACAGTAATGGAGATATTAATTTAAGACGAAATGGTGACGGATGTCCAAGACCCATATGCCATAAATGGGAAGGGTGAGGGACTTGATGGGAGATAGGTGTCCTTTGAAACGGGGACATATAATAGAGACCACCGTGTTGTTTACCCGAGCTAATCATCTTTCCTGTCAAATCCTGGAAGACACAGAAAGTAGGAAACAAAATGACACAACAGTTTAGGGCGGAGGTGACTTTGCTTACTGACATCAAATTTAAGCGAAATGAGGGAACACATAATACATTATCTAAGGTGATGTCTGAATTAAATGTTATAGTGCCAGTGGAGGCGATTGGTGCAGAGGATCCAGTGGGCAATTTAACAATGGGTATTGGTGAGGATTTTGCTTGAGTGAAAAGTTTGGAATCAGAAGTGATGTCGTCAGTAGCTCTGCTATCCAAAATCCAAGGCTGCAGCATTTGCATAAGCATTGCTATTACCAGAACCAGAAGCATGGTTTGGAGTCATCATAGACAAGGCATGAGCAAGTTGCTGAATTTGTTCTGCAGAAAGCCCATGTAATGATTGAGAAGAGTTGAAGTTATTGTGGTTGGTTTGCAGAAAGCCATGTGGAGTGTCTAGCGTTTTGGAGATTTGGGCTGGAGTAACAATATCTTGTGGATGAGTCCCATGTGTAGAATGGGAAGAATCTGTTGCATTGGTAGCAGCAAAGAAGTTACGTGTGTTTCCTCGAGACCCGCGTTGCTGCTGTTGTTGTTGACTTTGTCGATTGCCTTAGATTCTTGTGCTGCTGTGAACCCATGTGCCATTCTTAAACCTGCACCTATCCTCAGTATGACTCTTTTGTCACAATATTTACAATGAAATTTTAGAGTCGGACAATTTTCAATTGTATGACCTCCTCTATTACAGTGTTCACAATGCTTGTCTTTGGAATTATTTGAGAAGTTGTTTGGTCGAACCTGAATTGTAGCAGCAATTGAAAACTTCTCCGTTGATTCCGGTGCCACTTGTCGTTGTGTTTCTTCTTGAATGACAAGAGAGTAGGCTTGTCGTACATTAGGCAATGGCGACATCATAAGAATGTTGGTATGGACAACAGTGTAGGTGTCATTGAGTCCCATGAGAAATTGCATCATCCGATCTTCTTCTCGCTATTCTTTATGTGCTTTGATCTCGTTACAGGTGGGAAGAGGTCGATATGTCTCTAATTCATCACATAAGCCTTTGAGTTTGGTATAGTAGGTTGAGACTGTCATGGTGCCTTGTGAGAGAGAAGCCAAGGATTTCTAGATTTGATAGATTGCTGGTGCATTCTTCTGTGAAAATTGATCTTTGAAATCTTCTCACACTTGATGGGCTGTCTTGGCATGAATGACTCCTTCGGCTAAATCGGGTTCCACTGAGTGAGTAAGCCATGACAAAATCATGTTGTTGCATTGATTCCATAGAGCATATTCAATTGGTTGTTCTGTTTCTGAAGGTGGCTTAATGGTTCCATTGACAAAGCCAATTTTATTCTTGGCTGTGAGAGCATGAATCATGGATTTACTCCATGATGGATAGTTTGCACCATTCAATTTTGTCTGAACGAGCATGTGTCCAGGGTGATCTAAATGATGAACAAAGTATGGGGTTTGGTGGATCCATATCAGAATTGTTGTTGCTGTTGTTAGAACTTTTGGATTGGGATTTTTCTGATGGTGTTTGATCGTGTCCTGTTATGGTGTTTGTAGGTTTCTTGTTTGAAAAAGTCTAGTAATCAGGCAGTGTCTCTGATACCATCTAAAGAAAATAAGCAGTAAGCTTTGAATAAAGAATAATGGAGATTTATTTGGCTGAATACTTTTTTGTATATTTCATTAACAGAGCACAGTACATATGTACACATAAACAACGTATAATCAACCCTATTTCTAAGGCTTAGAAGACGTGATCCACTGTCAGTGGGATATGATTTATACTATTTTAGGAAAGTAAATATATGACAACAATATTTCTTTAATAGTCATCACTAGAATGGTAAAGGGGATTTGGTGCGGGTGCAGGAACATAATCAATACTTGTTCCAATCATGAAAATCATCATCAAACTCATCACCACAACTGTTACTCTTGTCATGATATTCTGAGTCTCTTTGCTCAAAATGGGGATGGCTTCACCTGAGAAGGTTTTTGTTTAGACAGAAAAATCAGCATCATATTTATAGGGATCTGAATCCTTAAAAATGTTCATTAATTAATTGTTTAAGCTGCGTTTAGTTCACTACAATAACTACTGTGGCCCTTAAATTGTTTTTTTTACTAAAAAAGTATTCAGGAGAGAGAACTTCTGTTATGAGTTAAAAGTCATTCTGTTACTATGTCTAAATCATCATCATTATTTTTCCTTGATTTTCTATTTGTTGATTCTAGAGAAATGGTTAGTCATTTACCCCTTTGCAAGGGGTCATGGGCTGTTAATATCTCTAAATCATCATCATTATTTTTCCGTGATTTTCTGTTAGTTGATTCTAGAGAAATGGTTAGTCATTTACCCCTTTGCAAGGGGTCATGGGTCTAACAAAATTTATCATTTGATTTTTCAAGTTAGTAAAATAAAAGCGCTTTGTACTTGTGATTGTGACAAAAAACGACTCTTCACAAAATGAAGAACACCGCGTGCCCTAAAAAAAAACATGGGAAATCTTGAAATTTGGTTCTTAATTGTGCTATAACTAATAACTATAGAAGAGCTATGTACTTAGAAAATGATTTAGCCCTACCTGCCATCTCTGCATAACGTTCAGAAAAAAATTAATTCAGCTGTGTTATTAGCTACGAAATGTAAAACTTGCAGCCACCCCAGGAGCCTGGAAAAGGAAGTGGAGGAAAAAAAAATTAGAGATAACAAATCAATGGAGAAGATTTGAAGCTACATTGGTAATAATTCCCATTGTTCAGCAATTGTACTGCACGTCATGTACAGAGATTGCAGAGATGTAAAAAATGCAATCAAGCATCAAGGAAGCAAACCGGAAGAGCCAAGATATACCATGGATGAGTGTTTTAATATGGAAATGCTACAGGTGTTGTTTCCGCGATCACGGGAAAGCATAAGTCTCACGTGTGGAATACTCTTCCAATACTCTCCAAGAGCTGGTTTTGGAGCACCTCCCTCCCCTCCCACTGTGTGATTGGTCACCTTCATCATTTCATGTTCTTAAATTCCATTCATCAACAGATAAAAGTATGAAAATGATGCTTATGATTTCTGTTTAAGGAGAAAACTTACTAGCACCACAAGATTATGCTGATGCGCCAACTTCTTTAGCAGACATCCAGCAGATACCATCAAAGAGTGTCCTGCATTTCTCCAAATGCAAGAAACCATTGGTTGGTCCATCTTTATCGTGGAAACGTTTTAAAATGTATGAATCCATTAATATCAAAAGCAGAAACATGTATTATGGATAAACCTTCTTAAATAAATAACAAAATTCTTTTAAATTAGGAGTAAATACATACCTTGCAAACCACTTCCTCCAAGAATTGGAGTAATAAGAGAGGAGATTGAGTCGACAATAAGCAAGCGCACACGACGAGGTCCATTCTGAAAATTTTCAAACAAGAATGTGAGAAACCATAACATAGTAATGACTGAAACAAGCAGCAATACTGATCCATGTCAATGCAAACCTGAGATCTCAAATCGAGTTCAAGCTGATGCAGAATATCGAACATTGTGAAGATGTCAAACACGGAGTGGCATAAGATGTTTTTCATAACATTCTGGAGAAAATTGTGTGTAGCCTACAATTGTGAGAAGATCAAAGTGAAACTTCTGCACATTAAGCGAGGCTAAATAAAGAAACCAAAATTAGAAAACACGGTACTAAAGGCAGAAAAAAGGTGGAGTGACCAGATTGACGAAAAGGTTTAATACCAAATCAACAAAATCGGCAATACGCTGGGGTGAGAAAGAGTTGGATGTATCTAAGTAAACAACACGTCCCATGTGCTTTTCTGCAACATTTGAGGCAGCTTGTAGACAAACCTGAACATTACTAAGCATTTGGGTACAAATACTTGAATGTTATAAAATTATCAACGAATGCTATATACCATAACAAATACATGAAATTGAAGCAACTCTATGAGAAAATAGGATAAGAAACATAGATAATAGTGATCAAAAAATGACTGAAAACACAAAATGAATAACTGTAAGTTAACTGAAGTGAAAAGGCTATACTGACTTGTGTTTTGCCAGAAGATGAGGGGCCAACGAGTTCTGTTAACTGTCCCTCTCGTAATCCGCCTCCAAGTAACAAATCAATACTGATCAAAACAGCCAAAGAGAATTCTAATATTGAGCTTAGAATTCTAGTTCAGTTTAAACAAGAAAATCTGAATAGTTGGAAAGGGAAAATACCCTTCACACCCAGTTGATAATACATGTTTATTTTGCAGAGAATCTGCCAACAGATCCATGCCATTCATCCATGGTTGATGAAGTTCACCATCAACCATAGAGAGGAGCTCTTCAATTCCCTACTTGCAAAATACAAACGAACAAACAATAAAAATTAAAAAAATAAAAAAAGGTGAGTTTGAATGAATAAATGCTGTGAGAGAGTGTGAAATTCATTTGAAGTTGTTAACAGAGAAAGCAAACCTCCTTTAATCCCTCAGGGTCAGGCTGTTGTTCTGCAAGTGCGGCTAATTCATAGATGTCGTGAAGGAGGAAATCTTCTACTGCACCACAAAAAAAAAAAAAAAAAAAAAAAAAAAAAAAAAAAAATTTTCTTTAAAGAAACCAATTCCCCCCCAAAAAAAAAAAAAAAAAAAAAAAAAAAAAAAAAAAAAACTGTCATTTAAAGGAATTCCTGAAATGGGAAATGAGGGAAAAAGAGGGTACCTGTCAAAATGCCATGAGAAGCACAAAATGCTAGGAAATGGGAGTTGATTATTCTTGGGTATTGCTCCAGAGACTTCAAAGGTGCCATTTTCTTGCTCACTCTCTTCTTCCGCCAAAAAGTTGTTAGTTATGTGTCAACAAAACACAGCGGAATTTCTCGCTCTCGAGCACAGCGAGGGCTAACTTGTGAGGAAAACTGGGAAGAAAAGTTCCAGAAGAATCCAAACGATGATAAACCTGTCATTCCTCAACTTCAAGGAATCGAGCGCATCACTTTTTTTGTTTTCTGAAACGAAAGGTGATGTTTATCGAAACGACATGTCACTTTTCCCTCCAAACGACAGTGATTTTTCGAATTAAACTGCTAAGGGACATCTTCGATTTATCTGTTCTTCCATTATTATTAATTCATTATTATAATTATGTTTGATATGAATAATTTTAGGGATGAAAAAACAAACGTCAACCTTGCACATAACAATCACCCGACTCGCCTTAATAATAATATGCCTGATATTAAGCCGTTCAAAATCACATAGTTTTTGTGAATTGATATTGGTATTAGATCTTTTATCTCATTATACAGATTTTGAATCCATACTCTATTTAGATTTATCATCTTTTATTTTTTTTTTTAAAATGGGGTGGGTGAAAAGTTACCAATTGGCTAAGTCACCTAAAATAACGTTTTGATCATTAAAATATGATTTTGAACTATCAGATTATATTTGATTAACATATTATATTTGAACTGTTGGATTATTATTCGTGCGATGTAATTACCAAACATTTAAGAAGAAATCAAGTGTAAACCAATCAAAAGATGTTTCCCAGTTTGCTTGGTGGCGCATCAAACAAAAATGAATACCATGATATAATATTGCCGCAGAGATTAATGTGAAAAACTGTAGCGTGTAGTATTCCTCGAGCATTAAAGCAATGATGCCAGTTTAGACTGAAAAGCAAATACTATTAAACCAGCCGAAATTCCAAAAGTAAACAGCTCATAAACTTAGATAAGGATTCTAAAATGAGCATTTTATTGGGACACCTAAGAAACAAGCAAAGCCTAATGAACTACTATAAAACTAATGTATGTCTAGTTTGGTGGGGGGAAGAAAATAGCATCAGAGGTCCTCTTTGATCGGAAATGCTTCTCCACATCAGATCCCACATTGAAGGAAGCCTGAAGCACCTCAGGAGATAGAGCCTTCCACACTGAAGTCCTTCCAGCCAAATGGGTGAATATTGGGCTGCGCCATAAAAAAAAAAAAAAAAAAAAAAAAAAAAAAAAACAACAACAACAACAACAACAAAATTAGAATTTAATTTTCATAACAAAGCATGAAAAATGAAAACCCTTTTGGCTTTTGAGAAAAATTGACTTACTTTGGAGTTGTGATGATGGAGAACCATTCCAAGCCATCTGGGTCAGCAATCTTAGAGACAACATAGAACCTAGGGACAATGAACAAATTACCCCCTTTAACAGTTGTTTCCAAGACCCTTTTGCCGTCAACACCAACAACTTGCACACGCCCACTGCCCCTTACAAAATACGTGACTTGAAGAGCAGAGTCACAAGAGAATCCAGGAGAGCACATGGCACTTCCATCCAGCCTAACAAGGTCGGCCCCAAGTCCAACCTCACCAACCAATGGAAGGTTCTTGGTGTTCAAAACCACGACCCTTCCACCGTCTTTGATGTCGACGTCCAAGGGTGCCTCCTCGCAGTTCAACGCAAGTCCCTCGCGGTGCTCCTTCTTGGCCTCGGGCAGCTTAAATCCTTCCTGAAGCTTGACAATGCCATTGGCAGATTGGTTGCCTACAAGGGTCTTGACTACATTCTCCTCCAAGTCCCATGCTCGGCTGACAAACTCGGTGGAAAAGCCGGTGAAAACTCCGTTGGAGCCAGTGAGGAAGAAGTCGGTGAATTCACCCGCCTTGTGGGCTTTGGAAGTGTCACCCAAGAAGAGAACAACAAGCTCAGTGTCCTCCTTGTTGTACCACCATGTGACAACGCCGAATGGGAGGGCAATGGCATCACCCTTCTTGATTGCAATCACCTTTTCTTCTGATTCTGGTAGGACAATTCCAGCTACTCCTTGTCCTGAACAAAAGCAAAGATGTTGTACAGGTAAAATTATACTATTTTATGGTGTATAATTAAAAGGGATTGTGTATTTCCAAAGACTTAATTTGTAAACCATGCAAGCCCCTAAAAAAACTATGTTTCGGAAACAAGATTTATAGAGCATGATCGGATAAAATCATATAGAAAAAATTTTGATCTCTGAAGAAAAAGATTTAAGTATTACAGAATGACAAAAAAAATAAAATAAAGAACAAAAAAAAAAAACATGGATTTAACAGCAATTATATTTAATTTAAATATCTATTCTCAGAAAAGACATCGCACAAAGGAATCTGATTCTTGAAGATAATGAAACTAAAGTGACCGAAAACAAAGATAAAAATCTCTCAATCCCCCACCGCAATAGCATCTAATTCACTCTGCCTATATAAAGAAGAATAAAAGACGGTGAAAACTGAAATTTAACATGATAATACGACCTTATAAATAAAACAAAAGGCAACATCAACAAGAATTGAGCGTCAACGATATAAAAAATAAAAATAAAAATAAAAAAAGCCATTGATCATTACCGCTAATTGAAACACACATAGAAAACCCCTAGAACAAAAGACAACAAAATAACAAACAATTGTCAACAGTCATCATCTTCAGAAAAAAAACAAAAACAAAAACAAAAAAAAAAAGACCAAAACAAAAGCAAAAACAAACAAACAAACAAAATCATAGCATAGTAAAGGAGCAGTGGTGGGCATGTTTGTTCAACCTCTGTTTGGATGCCTCCTCTGTTAAAACTTTGATCCCCCAAAACCCAGAAGACCAAATTCCTTGTTCAAGATCTTTTTTTCTTACACATTAAACCAACTCTGTGGGTCGGACTGATTTTTTGTTAATAGATTGTGAGAGCTTTTAGGCTTGTCTTTTGCATTTAATGATGAAAAACTTACCATTGATCATAATAAAAAAAAAAGGGAGGAATAAAAGAAAACAAATACAGATTACAGATAAAGATATCGAACAAAAAAGGAAAGAAAAAAAATTGTACCTTGGAGAACGTAAGCAACCTTGGAAGAATCAGAATAACGAGGAAGAGCAAAACCATTCTTCTCAAGAGCGAGCTTGGAGGCTCCGATATTTCCTTCACGAAGCATGGGAAGCTCAGAAGGAGACCAGGCGTAGTAGGCCCCACCATCGCCTCCGTACACCCTCTTCGCCAACTTCGGGGAAAGATCAATCGCCATCTCTCTCAACAGAAAGTAAGAAGAACAATAAAACGCAAAAAGTTTATCACGCAAAGAAAACGCTGAAGGTATTAAGGAGAGAGGGAGTGTTTTATGAGAAGCGTTAGTGCTTTGCCTTTGAGTGACGACTGACCAGTGAGTGTCGTGTATATATATAATAGTTTGAGAAACAGATATGCAACCGAATAAGATTCCAAATTTTAAATTTTTTATTTTAACTAAAATTTATGAGTTGACACGGGGGAATACAGGATAAATAGATAAAAAGTCGACCTAATTATTCACACACACACAAAAAAAAAGTTTTTCCCTAAATAATTGTGCTTCTCGATAAGATTGACACGTATATCCATAAATACTCGGTGAGAGGAGAAACCGAGAAAGTGTAAATGGTACCCACCTGATAAATGGTTAACTCGCGATAAATTATTATTTATTTTAAATAATTTTAAATTTTATTATTTATTTAATTTAATTTTAAAATTTTATTATTTACTGTAATTTTCTTATTTATTTTAATAGAAATAATTTATTTTAATTTAAAGAATGAAAATAAAAAAGCGCAATTTTCAAAAGTTTTTTTTTTTCCGGTGGCCCACAAAGCATGAAAAGATACTTCTTTCATCCAAAAAAAAGTCATGAAACATTATACATGAGGCACAAAAGTTACTGTTTTAAGAACACTGACTTTCCGATTTTGTCTCTATTATTTTCTGTTGAAGTCTTTTTTATACCGTCTGTATTCTTTTAGAATAGTGACTTTCTGATTTTGCTCCTATTACTTTTTGTTGAAGTCTTTTTTATACCGTCTGTGTCCTTTTAACGTAGAGAGAGAGTGTACAGAGTGGTGGGATCATAATTTATTTTTATTGTTTTGTCCTCAAATTTTTTTTTTCTCGTGTTTTTCTGTTGGGCATTTTTGTCATTTGTTACGGTAGGTTCTGTTTAGTCTTCTCGAGAAGCTTCTTGCTTCTTTCATTTGTTTCCTGTCTAATTTCTGTTTTACCGAGGCTCATTTGCTTCATTTCCTATGCGATGGGGTTTTGTTTAGTCTCCTCGAAGCTTCTTGCTTCTTTCATTTGTTTCCTGCCTAATTTCTCTTTTACCGAGGCTCATTTCTTTCGTTTCTTGTGCGATGGTTTTTGTTTAGTTTCCTCGAGAAGCTTCTTGCTTCTTCCATTTATGATTCTACGTCTGCATCTAATGTTTCTTTTATCGATGCTCTTCTTCTTCGTTTCCTCTTAATGAGTTCTCTTCGTTTTTTTTTTGTAGTTTTCTCTGGTTTATTATGTTTTGGTTCTAATTTTTTTCTCATTTTATGTCTCTAGATTTTCTTGCGTTTTTTGTAGGATTAATTTCTTTTTTTTTTTGACAAATGGGTTAAGGTTTTCGTGGGTTTCATTTTGGTTTATTTTTTTCTGTTTTATGCATTTTTTTTCTTTTCTTTCTTTCTTTCTCTTCGTAAGACTCCTGGGAATCATTGTTAATGTTTGTTTTTTTTTCGTTTTTTTTTTAGATTTGGCTTCCTTTTTTTATTTTTTGATTCATTTTTTCGGTCTGTTTTTTCAGATCATCCCGTTTATTTTTCCAGATCTATTATTGTTTTTGTAGATCTGGCTTCCTTTTTTCTGTTTTTTTATTAGGTTTTTCTTTTTTGTTTTTTTAGATCTGGACGTGTTTTTGCTTTCTTTTGTTCCCTGTTTTTAAAATTTGTTTATTTTATGTTTCTGGGTTTCTTTGCGTTTTTCGTGGGGTTATTTTCATTTTTTTTTGTTTTTTTTTCACAAATGGGTTAAGGTTTTCTTTGGGTTCATTTTGATTTTTTATCCTATTTTATGAATTTTTTTCTCTTCTTTCTTTTCATAAGGCTTTTAGGAATCATTTTTAGTGTTTGTTTTGTTTTGTAGTTTTGTTTTTCATTTTTCTTTTCTTAGATCTGGCTTCATTTTTTTTTTTTTTGGTTTTTTCTTCCATATATATTGTGAGATATATTAGTATTTTTTGTAGATTTGACTTTGTTTTTTTTATTTTTCTTTTTCGTTCTTTCAGATCTGTGCGTGTTTCTGTTTCGTTTTGTTCTGTGTTTTTTAATTTTTTTTCCCATTTTTGTAGATTTAGCTTTGTTTTTTTATTTCAGTTATTTTTTCATTAAGTCTTCCAAATAATCACTTTTTACTTTTTATTTTTTTCTATTTTCGTCAATTTTTATTTGTTTATTGGTTATTATGTTGTCTAACACCTGTTTTTACTAATTATTACATGTTTTTATATTTGTTTGCAGGTTATATTAGTCGGAAATATTTAGACATTTATTTTTAGTGCAGGGTAACTCTTTTTAACGAGTTATTCTTTCTCACTGTCTACAGGTTCTTTATTCTATTCCACGGTAATTATCATGCAGTGTAACACCTGTTTCTAACAAATTATTACGTTTTTTTTTCACTCTCTGCAGGTTCTTCGTTGTGTTCCACGGTAGTTATCATGCAGCGTAACACCTGTTTCTAACAAATTATTACGTTTTTTTTTCACTCTCTGCAGGTTCTTCGTTGTGTTCCACGGTAGTTATCATGCAGCGTAACACCTGTTTTTAACAAATTATTACGCTTTGTTTACAGCGCAACAACGGTGATGTTAAGTTTTGTTTCCAGTATTTACCACTGCCACATACTCGAAAGTTTATTTTTTCCCTATAAATATATTGTTTCCCCTTTCACGTTCATTGTCTTCTGCTTTGTTTATGTTTTCGTTGTAATACACTTATCGTCTATCCTCTCTGTTTCTTTTCTTTTCTTCAATTTTCAATAATTAGTTTTTTTCTCTCCCTTTTCTATTATCTCTGTTTTGGAGTTTTGTTACTCCTCTTGTATTAACTCTATCCACTTTCATCGTTATTCTAAGGTACTCTTCTCTTACTTCTTCCATATTATTTCTAATTGTTCTTAAAATTGTATCTATTATATTATTATGTTTTTGTTATTGTATATATTGAACTGTAAATATATGTGTTCATCGTTTTATGTTATTATGATTATATTTGTACTAATTCTATTTATTATATTAATTTATCAACACTCTGTTCTATATCTAACATGATTTCTCAATTGGTAATGATGTAGTATTTATCTTTTATTGTTACCATGTATTAAATAACTGTTTATAATGAAGACGTTGCCCGGATTATTTCATATTTATATTCTTTTATTTATTTGGTTTTGTCAACAGTATACTATTTTTATTATTATTTTGTACTTTTAAAATGATTTGTTCTTCATCTGATTTTGCTGAAGGGTTTTCATTCTATTTCTTTATTACCGTCTCTGTTATTGGTTTGCCAATTTAAGTTTTTTTTATGTCGTTTTTCCTTTTCTCCGTTTCTTTTTCCTTTCTTAATCTTTATAAATCTTTTTAATAATTCAGTTGGTACTGAAGGGCATTGTTAAATCTTATTCCAGTTACTTCTAATGCGTGATGTTAGCAATTAAAGATAAATACATGAACCAAATTGTTTATATTTATCTATTTAATTTCCTCATCTATTTTTTAAAACTATTATTTATGCAACTAACTTTTATAAATAAGATTTTTGATATTTTATCTTTCTTATTTTTTCCCATTTTGATGTTCTTCTTAATTTGTCAGTACTACAATATCTATTGCTTTCCTGCTGTCATTGTTAATGTTAAAAATAAACTCTTTAAGTTTCGGTTTTTAGTTTCTCAATATTTTGTTTAGCATTTTCACATTTTTCTTCTGTTGAATTGTTGCAGTCCTTTAGGAAAGACTTATTTCAGAAAATTGTCTTTCTTCTAAGGTATTTTTTTCTTAATTCTTTTATGTTATTTCTGAATGTTCTTTAAATTTTATGTATTATATAACTATGTTTTTTTAAGTGTTTATATTAAGTTATTAATATATATGGTCATTGTTTTATATATTTATAATTATATTTGTAATAAGTTCTTATATTAATCTACTAACATTTTCTTTGGATGCAGATCCACTCTTTTTCCTATTCAAAGATCAGCCCTTTGTCTCTGTGTTTTCACATCGAGAATTCTTTGCAGATGAAGAGATGTCAAAGGGGCTTCTTACTTCCCAAACAGATCTTCCTACATCTATATATAAACGCTGGTTTATCAAGAATACTCAAGAAAAGTACTTCGAATTGTTGATTTATCGCCAGAGATGGCTTAGAACCAATAGTTCATTATCTAATGGATTTTTCCGAAGGATCTGAATCCACTGAGGCATCCAAATCGCTTACACACTAGAACAGAACCTAACTCCACTTCTTTGCCGATTTCTCCTGCTGCTATCCTCTCAACAGGTCAGTCAATATCAGTAGTGGAAGAAGCAGAGTAGTCCCCTGGTCATCAGTTAGTAGTTGAATAATCCCAGTAGTGGTCCTCTTGCCTAGTGGAGTCAACCCTTAATGGACAATGATAGGCAGACCAAAGATTGCACATCGCAGTCTAAGCTTTGCGCACCGGCACAGCAGAATTTGAATCCGCTGGCTCAGATGAGTGGCTCTTGGCTTACTTCCTTGAGAAGGGCTTTCTGTAACTAAGAAATGATAATTGTTGACCCATATGTCAGGCTCAGAATAAGGAAGGGGCACGGTTAGCCAATCACCTGGCATTGGGTCAAGAATTGATCCGTATCATCTTGACTTGGTTCTGATTATTAATAATTTGAATTATAAATTATTAATTATTTAATAAAAGTATTAAAAAAAAGCCTTGCCCTCTAGTTGGTAAGGCGATCTCTCTCTAAAATTAGTTCGGCAAATCGACCGAAAAATAGAATTATCAGTGTCTTAGCACCTTTTCTTTACTCGGGAAGAAGGTGAGTAGGGCGTTTGATGGGGACCAATAGCCTTTATGGTCTTCTTTCAGCCTCCCAAGGGCAGTCAAGGCCCTATTTTCTTCGGTCTCCCGAAAAGGGTTTAGGTCATATTTTCAGGGAAGAGGTCGCGGATTCAGGTCCCTACTACACAGCAGTTAGAAACACATAGAGCAACCACGAGCACGCAGGATACTAAGATGCATGAAATTTTGACAAGAAAGAAGGGCATTCTCAGTATTGTATTTAGAAACATAGAGCAAAAAGCTGTTTGATAGAAAGTCGGATACGTT